TGAACAGAGTGAAAAATAAAAGGAAAAACAGAGTGTAAACTGTGACACTTTTGGGATGAGGACAGTGGTTTAAGTGGAAGGAAAGTATTCAGGAATTATTGATTGATAATGAACCACTCTCTGGCTTGGGTGACAAGGTGAAAACTCACATTGTCCCATTCAATGACTTTGACAGAATGCCCTGTTTGTTGATGATCCTGCTGCTGACATTTTAACACACTATATTGAAGATCACTTACAAATGTCAGAAGATGTTGAGTGTTTTATGGCCTCAATGTGGCATGATGGTGGAGAATCCCATGATTGTTGATGGTAGCACATAACTACACATTGCCATAATGTTGGCAAGGGACTGCAACAATGGCTTGTTGGCCAATCAAGTTCCAGCCACTCCTACTTTTGGTCAGATTGAACCCAGCTACATCCTTATAAATATATCCATGTAGTCGTTCTAAGCCAAGAATCCAGTTGAAACACTGCATGCAAAATAAATATAGCTTTGATTTATGCTGTACAGTAGACTGCAGTACAATAGTCCCTCACTTATCACAGGGTTTACGTTCCAGACACCCCTGCGATAGGTGAAAATCCACAAAGTAGGAATGTTATATTTATTTTAGTATTTATATATATTTTAAGGCTTTATAAACCCACATCTCTTCACTTGAGTGACGAACATACTTATGGAGAATTGCTGGCGCTGCTTCTTCTTCACAAAAGAGCACAGCAAAAGAGAGCAGACAAACTGATGTTATGGTTACTGAGCAATCAGTGCCTGGGATACAGAGCACAATGCTCTGGTTGGTCACCTTCCATCAATCAGCCAATCATGTATTGTGTAGAATCCTACGTTGAAAACATGCGAAACAGTGAGTTCGCAAAAGTCGAACCATGTGGTAGCGAGGGACTATTGTATTGAACATATCTATACTGCAATCTTTGCTCCTTGACCCTCTCTGAGTTGTGGTAAAAGGGAACTACCATATGTACATTTACTTCATCTACATTCTGTTGCATTTTAGGACACGATCAATGGTAGAAAGTTGGACTCTAGGGGTGTAACAGTACACTAAAATCACATTTTGGTTCGGTTCAGTTTCAGGGAGGGCTCGGTTCGGTTAATTTTCGATACAAAAAAAGGCCAAAAATAAAGACTTACAAAATGTTTATTTTGAAAATATGCCAAGTAAACAATACATTTGTATAAAAATAAATAAAAGTGACCGATTTGGATGATATTTTAAATAAATGGCCCTCTTTACAATAAATAAACTATACTAACAATAATAAAAATCTTAATAAATACAATAACAGTCAGAACCAGAACAATAAGCAGCTACTGAAAATCCTTGAACCACTTTGGTTATGGTTGCCTGGCTGGGAGGAGTCGAGGGGAGACAGGACGGCCCCCAGAAACCATCTTAGCTTCAGCAAACTGATTGGTCCACTTAAGGAGTTTACTGCTTGGTGGGAAAACAGTTTACTGGAACTCCTCAGACTGACGAAGCCCTCAGAATACAGGGCGAAATGTCTCTATAAAAAAGAACTGTCCAGATGACCTGACTGAGAATTACTGGATTTGATACCTGGATGATTGAGCATGCACTTTGTTGTTTACTGAAAAAAACTTACTGATGAAGAAGACTCAGGCTATCTCGCTGACATCCTCAGACTGCGAGCAACACAAAGAAGTAAAAAAATTGAGTTAATAAAATAATTTTAAATTAAAAAGTTAATTAGATTATAATATTGTAATACAATAGCAATACCTCTTCTTGCATGGTCATCATTTCTGTTATGTGGTGGTTGACTCTCTCGCTCATCATCATCAATGTGGCAGGGCTTTAAATCTGGGCTCCAGGGCTTGTTGACAATATCAGTTTTAGCTTTTTCATAACGTGCTGCTACAATTTTTTGGCTGAAGTGTTGACGTGATGGGATGTCATAGGCAGCGGGGCTCAAGAACTTTAATCATATGCCTAAAGCTGGCGTATCAACAACAGAATATGGATGTGGATCCAGAGCTTTAAAAATTTGTACAGCTTGTGTTATTGCTTTGGACTGATTTGAATTACCTGATAAAGGTTGTTTAAATGCTGCTGTTATTGGTCTTTGCACCAAGCTGCTTTTCTTCTTTGTAGAAGAGACGTTCACATTTGGATGATGTCGTTTCAAGTACGTTAACAAGTTAGACGTGTTGCCTGCTACAGATCCAATCTCCATGAAACAACATCGACACACAGATTTGGATTTGTTCAATTGTCTTTTAACAAGAAAACAATAATGTTCCCAAACAGCAGACTGCAACGAGATGAAAGGTTTTTTTTAAAGCTCTGTTTGTTGCCTGCTAGGCTGCTAATGCTACGCGTGCAGCAAGACTATGCAACAATTAATAGCGCCGTGCTGAAACATGCTTTGGAACTTTAGTTCTGTGGCGCATAATCTCTCGTTAACAAAATTTAATGAGTGAAAAAATAACCAAAATGATACACACGTGGACCGAACCAAACATGCCGTACCGAAACGGTTCAATACACCCACATGTACCGTTATACCACTAGTGGACACTGATGATGCTTCCAAATTCACATGCTCTTCAATGAGTTTCTGCTGTATTTCAAGCAGTTTGATTGCATTGTTCTGACGAACCATGTCAACAATGAGAGTCTCCTGGTGTGGGGACTTTATCCTCCCCCATGAAGTGGCAGACTTGCGATTCTACTAAAAGAACATGCAGTTATCACAAAATACATGCAGTACTAGGCCTACAAAAATATTGGAAAATTCATGTAATGAAACATCTTTTTACAGGACTGTAATGAGTTGTACTATAAACATGTACGTAATGAAGAAAGATATTATCTGTTGTCTCTGAATCTTGGGGCTATAGTGGACATGGTGAATCTACTTAGGTTGGGCTGAACTTGAAGTCTCACTCCCTCAATGTCAAACCGTGGACAAGAACATGGTCTATGACAGTTGCCCATATTTCCTCTGAAATAAGTATTGTTTTTCTCATACCTCCTCTTTCTCTACTTATCTGATTGTTTCTATCCATAGTAAAACTCAACGTCCAGGGCTTCTTGTACTGGTTATATTGGTTTGTTCACATCATTAGCCACATGTGTGATCAATTTTGAGTTGCTATGTTTAAGTTGAGACACATGTGCATTATCTGAGTCTCACTTTTGCTACCTGTGCATACCATTATGCAAATCAAGTGCACCACAGTGCAAAATGTGTTTTAGTGTGTAAAAATATATTTGCAAGTTGTGTTTAACTAAGTGAAAAGTGCATAAGGTTATGCTAAAAATGTGACCATTTCAAGAAATGGGTTCAGGGCACTCAGCATTTGATTCAAACCACAGGGTTTAGTATTTTAGCAATTGAGAAAAATTGTAAGAAGGTAAAAACCTGCTGTTTGTGCTCCCTTGCTGTGTTGTCTGATAGGTGTGTTTGAAGTCAGCTGCAGAACAACGGACCACTTCTCAGCTGGCATGAGGCAATTTTACCAGGTGAACTTCTGCCCTAAAAATAAACTGACGCACAGATACTTTGAGCCAACCAGGACCGTGCAGTACTTCATCAGTTCTGAGGAAATAGAATGGGACTTCTCTCCTACACGAGACTGGGAGCTGGAGAGATACCAAACCATTGCAAAGAGCAGGTGAGTGAAGAGCAGTGTGGGGTGAGAACAGGTGAATGAAGGTGACTGTGAGATGGTGTGTTTTGGTTTGGGAGCTGAAGCTTGTGATTAGCTTCCTTACTTATTACTGTTTGCTAACAGGAACTAATTGATACGTGTCTCCCAGTCCAGGCAACGTCTTTGTGGGCAGAGCTGATGACAGGATTGGTTCCCGCTACATGAAGGCGGTGTATAGAGAATACACTGATGAAACCTTCCAGGTTTTGAAGACTCAACAGACTCACCAGGGTCCTTTTGGGATTTTAGGTAAGATCAACTCCTTCGTGTTGTTTTTACCTCATCCCCCAGCAATGAGATTTAAAACAACAGATGATAAAGATTATCTTCCACCTCCTGTAGGGCCAATTATCCGAGCAGAGGTCGGTGAGCAGATTGCCATTACGTTCAAGAACAAAGCCAGTCGGCCTTATTCTATCAGCCCACATGGAGTTAGGGCCACCGGGGCGCATGTTCCTGTCCAACCTGGTGAGAATCACATATAAAAATATTCATACAGTTTTTTTTTTTAATTCATGCTGTTGTTTTCTGATCAAGATACAAAATATAACTTTTATAAGCAGTTGGATTGATATTTGTTATCTTTTCTTGCTTTTAGGCCACATTGTTGAGCTGACATGGGATGTTCCTGAGAGCTCAGGACCAGGGCCCTCAGACCCTAACTGCATTCCCTATGCCTACTACTCTACTGTTGACTTCATCAAGGTACACCTCCCTTTTCTGCTGCAATATACTTCCAGTTTAATTTGAACAGCTGAAGCAGGCACCACTGAGCAGGTTTGTGTGCTTTTGTTTAGGATCTGAACAGCGGTCTTGTGGGGCCTCTGGTGATTTGCAGGCGTGGGACTCTGAGTTATGGGCCGGACAGATACAGGAGGGACACAGACAAGGAGTTTGCTCTGCTTTTTATGATATTCAATGAAAATCAGTCGTGGTACATAGATGATAATATCAGACATTATCTCGGCTACGACCCAGAAGCCTTCAAGAGAGATGACGGTTTTGAGGAGAGTAACAAGATGCACGGTGAGAGCTGGAAAGGATCGCTCTGAAAGAACAAAATATAAATGTTTCTTTTTAGAATTACATCAACACCAGTCTTGAGTCATGTCTGAAGTGTTCCTATAAAAGAGACAAGAGAAAAAATGCCCTTGTCCCAATTCTGTTAAACATTCGTCACTGAAAGTATTTCAGAAATCAGTTACTGACATTTCTGATGTGTGTCTTTTTTAACTATTTGTTGAAGTCATTGCATTTTATATTCATGCACAGTAAGCACATAATATTTAACTCTAATCCTTGTCAGAGCCAAAGTTGCAGTAAGTCATTCTATGCTCATACATTTATTTTTTTTTCCTGTCTGTCTGTTAACTACAGGAATAAATGGTAAAGTCTATGGTAACCTCCATGGACTGGAGATGATGCAAGGCCAGAAGGTTACCTGGTACCTGATGGGACTGGGCAACGAAGTGGACATACACACGGTTCACTTCCACGCCGAGACTTTCACTTACAAGGTTTGTTTGTGGTCACACTGGGCCTGAAGACCTTCTCTGTGCTCACAGAGGAAGATTTCCTAATGAAGGACATTTCCTCTTTGTTCCTTTTGTGATTCTGTGTGTATATGCGTATGTGAGTCAGACGGACGGTGTGCATCGTGCAGACGTGTTGGATCTGATACCTGGGACTTTCCAGACGGTGGAGATGGTTGCAGGGAACCCAGGAACATGGTTCCTCCATTGTCATGTGCATGATCACATCATGGCTGGCATGGAGACTGTGTTTACCATCAAAAGTACGTGTCAAAAATATTTTTTGTGTACATAGGAATGTGTCACATGCTGTGCATACTTAAACTGAAGGTCCACTTAAATAGACTTTTCTAATCTCTGACTCTTGTGTGTTTTCAATTCCAGAGAATTCCTCAAATGGTATGTAAAGTCTAATTTCCTCTGCAAACAGTGCTGCATTTATTCACACCTCACAATGTGCATTAAAGTTCCAAGTATTGTGCTTTTACATGAAAAATGGTTTAGGTATGTTTCATTTTCAGCAAACTTATTCAGAAGCCAATTATAGTCAATTTAAAGTGAGAGTAACTTTACAAACTTCCTAATCTGTTTGACTTCATCTGCACGTTGATAAAGAATTGATTTCTATAAAATCACATATTTTTATTTAAAATGTGCTTATTTCATATTGTGTGTGTGTGTGTGTGGGGGGGGGGGGGGGGGGGCAGCCACCACAATCATCTGAGGAAACTATGCTTTCTAGTTTTTATTTCGCCTAGAAGAATAATTTCCTTCAAGGTTTGGGGTGGACGGAGTTTAATCTACTGTGGCCATGACTCCCCACCCACTGCACCCCATGTCCATCACTGCACCTGGTGGTGGATTAAAAACTCACTCCGCACTGCCTCGGACAAAAATAAACCTTCCTGTGTTTATCTCCACAGTATATCTTCCACTATCTTGAATATCTTGCACCAAAAGCATTAAGGTTGACTTACATTCTCTGTTCAGTTCCATTCCAGATCAACATTCATCTCCAAAACTACAACCGTTCACTATTCAAATCCTTCAGATACAGGAGACATCGGAGTACCGCTTGTTTTATCTAGACTTGAATTACAAAGCAACACCTTGTGACTGTTTTGCCTCCAGCTGTCAACATCTGGAACACTTTCAGAAAAATACAACTAAAGCATGGAAAAGTACTGAGTAATAAACTGAGCTAGGGTTGTTCTGCTTACAGCACTATCATGCAGCTCAGTTTGTCTTTTAGAGCACTATGGAGGTCAAAGGTCAGACAGAAGATATTCTCTAGACCAGAGGTGTTCAAAGTGCAGCCTGAGGGCCACTTGCGGCCCTTGGAGTGATTTTGTGCGGCCCACAACTGCAGTGGTATGGTATCATTTCATATCACATGGTATGGAATGGTATCATTTTGGCCAGCAGGCTTAAGAGGTCGATGCAGACTTTCTGCAAATTAGTTGGTAATCCTTTTTTATATAATGTTTAGCTTTAACAGCAAAACAGATGAAAAACAATTTTCTCAAAATGAGCAATAATAAACAAAATACAAACATTTTGCAATAAACAACAATGTCCATGCTCAGTAATCCAGTTATACAGTTTCTTTTTTTTTTTTTTTTTTTGTGCTGAAACGTTTCACCTTCCATCCAGAAGGCTTCATCAGTCAAGGAAACACACAACACAAAACTGATTCTTCCCCAACAGCTTACTCCAAAGTGGAACAAACCAGTCCTGTCCTGTCCAGATAACCTGACTGAAAATTGTTGGACTTTGGCAATAATCTTTTTATTTTTACTTCGTGGTAAAAAGCATCAAAAACCTTTACTGATTTCCATCAGAAAGGAGACTTTTAGATAATAATTCATAAAACTTTGCTGAATATTTGTTGATAAAATAATCAAGAGGGAAATTGGACATTTTTAAATTACTATAAGACGGTATCATCTACATAAAAGTTGATCAATCGTATCAAACCTTTCATGAATCTGTTGTGGCGACTGACATCTGGATGATTTTTCAGAACTTCGATCAGCCTTTTGGGCCATCCATGGTCCAAAAGGCTGATCGACCCCTTTTAAAAGGACTCAAATTACACTTTTGTTTCTGTGAACAGACTAAAATGAACTTTCCAAACACAAGAAAACAACAAACATAGACCCAACAAATTAAATTAATCAAATTATTTTTTATAAAAAAAAAAAAGTTTGTCTTTATGAGGCTTTAACATTTTGGATCTACAGTTTTAAACTCTTTCTCCACCAAAATTAGTAAACGTTTGTCCTTTCTCCAAAATAGTGCTTACGTTGAGAGTGAAATTCACATTTTTGTGACCCGCCACGAGCCCCTTCGTCTTCGATAGTTTTGGCCCACATATGAAAAAGTTTGGGCACCCCTCCTCAAAGCCCGAGGAATGTTTTTGAAAGCGTTATCTGTCTTTGCTGAGTTAGTGCTGTCCACAGGAACATGTTATCATCCCGGTGACACTGGTGGCTCATGTAAATTTGCTGTTTTTACACGTTGATAAGAATTAAATGTTTTAGTTTTCCTTGTTAAATGATTGAGTTTATTTTGAAAACCATTTCTTTTAAAGCAAAATTAGAAAGTTTTGTGGTTTGTTCTTTTTTTTATTAACATAATTTTTTCTGCTGCAGGATCGAGGACCAAAGTCTCCTTTAGGACCTTGATGCTGGGTCTCCTGGCAGCTAAGATGCACCATTAAAACCCACCAACAGCTGATTGTGTTTGTGTTGAACCACACCAACGGACCTCCTAAGAAACCCACGTTTCTTTAACTTAAACAGAACACGTTCTGTTCTTGCACATAATGTTGTCATCAATATATGTTCCCATACGATGGTGAAATTGGCTCTCTGCATTTAACCCATCCACTTCCAGGTGGAGCAGTGGGCAGCTATTGAAAGTGCCCCGGGAGCGTGTTGTATGCAGATTTCACGTAAACAAACAAACAAAAAATAATAATAATAATCATCCATTAAATTAAAATCAAGATGTGGTTGTGCGTAGTGACTGTTTTAACTTTTTTTTAAAGAAAGAAAAAGCTTAATGTGAAGTCATTTTTTATTGTTTGCACTGAATCGATTTAATTTTTAGTAACATTTGTACCAGAAAAATAAATACAATTGTCATGATTGTGTTGAAACAGTATTTTTAAATATATATTTTATGTGATATTTGTCTGTGCAGGGTTGTCTTTTCACTGTGAAGTCATTTTCTTTTGTGAACAAGTATCACTCAACACCACAAGGTGGCAACCATCATATCAGAAAACTAACAGCAAGTTGCCATGGCGACAGGTCACTGAGCGTTTTTCTTATTTATCTCCATCAATTTGAAGACATTTCTCAGTACATTTTTAAACTTTTATGAGGAGCCATGATTCATGTTTGTCTCATGGAGCCCAGCAACATCTAAAGTTTTAAAATCTGCAGAATTATTCATTTTGTTTTTCTGTGTTTTCATCTACTACTTGAATAAAATACTGTTACTACTCTGTAAAATATTGTGTAGTTCATTAAGTAAAATGCATGTTCAGTATGGCTTTAAATGTTGGAGGTGTACCAATAAAAGAAATGTTTTGTTTTTTTACATCATTATCCCTCAAGCGTCATAATAGAAACAAGTTGTTTTGATTTGTGATTGAGCTTTAAAGCACTTTGAAACATTTTAGATGTAAGTTTTATTCTTGTAATTGCCACCAAAGGAGCTCTTAATGAGTGTTGGACAGATTTTGAGTAAATTTACTTATAGAACCTAATGTAGCTTTTTAATAAAAATTATGTTATATCAATTTAAATGATGTTAAATATTAAAAAATTGTAAAATTGTGGGTAACGGGTGGGAAATTATTAAAATGGTGTATATCCAGAAATCCAGGCTGTGTGCTTATTCACACAAAATGTGCAGATCAATAATGATGGAATAATTGTCAATTTAGAATAGAATAGAATTCAACTTTATTGTCATTGCACATGTCACAGGTACAAAGCAACGAAATGCAGTTTGCATCTATCCAGAAGTGCTTAGCAAGAAAAATTAATCGGTAGATATATATAGTACAATATACAGTAAGTTGCTTTGAATATGCTATAGGTATATACAGTTTGTGAGTGTACAGACTATGAACAGGTTATAATATGAAGGGGTATAAACAACTATATAAAAGAAAATATATATATAAGTATGTGAGTACTTATGAACATTAGGTAGTACTTTGTAAATTATGTGTACAGTTTGTACAGTAGTGGGCTAACAGATGAAAGTGCAGTTGGTGGTGTTACAGTCCATATGTTGTTGTTGTGTGTATGAGAATACAGACCGTTGTTGTTCAGATGTCAGGAGGCAGAGTTCAGGAGTGTGACAGCTGTGGGGAAGAAGCTGTTCAGGTACCTGGTGGTTTTAGTCCGGAGGCTCCTGTAGCGCCTCCCAGAGGGCAGGAGGGTGAAGAATCTGTGTGTTGGGTGGCTGAAGTCTTTTATGATTTTCCTAGCCCTTTTCAGACACCGCTTCCTGTAGATGTCCTTTATGGCAGGAAGTGGGGCTCCGGTGACGTGTTGGGCGGCTTTCACCACCCTCTGCAGCGCCTTCCGGTTTAAGGCAGAGCAGCTCCCATACCAGACTGTGATGCAGTTGGTCAGGATGCTCTCAATGGTGCAGCGGTAAAAGTTCACCAAGATTTCTGAGGACAGGTGGTTCTTCCTCAGAGTCCTCAGAAAGAAAAGACGCTGGTGAGCTTTCTTGATCAGTTTGGAACAGCCGGTCATCCAGGTGAGATCATCGGAGATGTGGACACCCAGGAACTTGAAGCTGTTCACATGCTCCACCACTGTCCCCTTGATGTAGATGGGTGGATGTGGGCCAGTGTTCCTCCTGAAGTCCACGATGAGCTCCTTAGTCTTCTCAGTGTTGAGCAGCAGGTTGTTGGTGTCACACCACTCAGCCAGACGAACCACCTCCTCCGTATAAGCGGTCTCATCGTTGTCTTTGATGAGGCCGACCACCGTGGTGTCATCTGCAAACTTAATGATGGTATTGGAACCATTAACAGGTTTGCAGTCATGGGTGAAGAGGGAGTAGAGGAAGGGACTCATCCCACAGCCTTGTGGTACACCGGTGTTAATAGTGATGGTAGATGAGCAGTGGTTATCCAGCCAGACATGTTGGGGTCAGTTGGTCAGAAAGTCCAGTAACCAGTTGCCCATGAGGGAACTGATGCCCAAGTCTGTGAGTCTTGTGGTGAGTTTTGAGGGGATGACTGTGTTGAATGCTGAACTAAAATCTATGAACAGCGTCCGGGCATAGGTGTTTTTGTTATCCAAGTATGAGAGAACAAAGTGCAGCGCTATGGAGACAGCATCCTCTGTGCTCCTGTTCTGGCGGTATGCAAATTGGTGGGGGTCCAGGGTGGGGGGGGGAGACAGGATTTGAGGTGTACTAGGACCAGCTGCTCAAAACACTTTGCGATGATAGAGGTGAGGGCTACCGGATGGTAGTCGTTGAGTCTTGATGGTTTTGAGTTTTTGGGTATCGGGATGATGGAGGTGGTTTTGAAGCAGGTCGGTACCACAGCACGGGCCAAGGACAGGTCGAATATGTCCGTCAGTACTCCTGCCAGCTCCCCAGAACACGCTCTAAGAACACGTCCAGGGATGCCATCAGGACCTGCAGCCTTGTGAACTATAATCCTGCTCAGCGCCGCTCCTACATCGGTGGGGAAAAGAGTCAGTACTGGTTGGTGGTCTGGAGACACATCTGCCTTAATTGTAGTTGTTGGGTTCCCTCTCTCAAAACGAGCATAGACATTGTTGAGCTCATTGAGGAAGGAGACATCAGAGGAGATGGGGGAGGGGTTGATGGCCCTGTAATCTGTAATGATCTGGAGTCCTTGCCACATACATCGGGGGTTGAAGTTTGAGAAGTGTTCTTCTATCGTTCCCTTGTAGTGGTGTTTGGCCTTTTTGATGCCCTTCTTCAGCTCAGCCCTGGCTGTACTGTAGGCCTGTGTATCCCCTGACCTGAAGGCAATGTTGCGGGCCTTCAGCAGTAGACGTACATCCCGATTCATCCAAGGCTTCTGGTTGGGGTACATGGTGATCCGTTTCTGGGTGGTGACACTGGGTATGTTTACATGGACATAAGTAACCGGATCAAATGGCCGGTCGGAATAAAAGTGTGTCATGTAAACACTCTGTTCGGGTTATTTTTTTGTGTATTCGGCGCGATCCGATATAATTTGTGATCAGAACGAAATGGGTGGTTTACGCCGATCCGTAATCCGATCGGTGCGCATGTAAACGCTTTATCTGTTCGTTTTTATCTGATCGTGAAAAACTGACCTGACTGCGCATGTGCGACTTTGCCATTTCCGCCTGGCTAATGCTAATAATATTAGCATGTCAGGGGAGCAAAACTGGCCGGTGAGCGACACAACATTTCTACAAGAAACTTTGAAAGAGCTCAAAATGATCTGTATTACCTGCAGCTCAGTCAGGGAGTGCAGCAACGTCTCCACCATCATTAAAACTTGGCGTGGGTCCATTTTGGGTGCTCAGGTTTGTTTACGTTCACCCCGGAAGTAGAACTTCTTCTTCTGTGTTTTTTTTTTAGGAGAGTTTACCACTCTGCGCATGTCAGTACTGCTGTTCAGAACAAAGCCCGCTGCATGTAAACGCTCGTCATGAACAGATTGTGCCCATGTAAACGATACATTTGAATTATTCAAACAGAACACATTTCAATCCGGTCAATGAATTCTGCGCATGTAAACATAGCTACTGTCTATAGTGGTGGAGATGTGGTCCAGCACAGATGAGGCGTACTGTTCCAAGCCTGTGTGAGTGAACATATTCCTATCAGTGTTTTTGAACCGGTCCTGGAGCTCAGTGTCTGTCCCCTCTGGCCACACTTTTATTGTCCTCACAGTGGATTTCACACGTTGGATGAGTGGTGAGTACCGTAGGTGAGAGGAAAATGCAGAGATGGTCCGATTGTCCAATGTGGGGGATGGGTGTTGCTTTGTATGCTCCAGCCAGGTTGGAGTAAACATGGTCCAAAGTCTTGTCCCCTCTGGTGTGTCAGGAGACATGTTGGTGGAATCTGGGGAGGACTGTCTTCAAGTTGGAGTGGTTAAAGTCACCAGCAACAATAAAAGCAGCCTCAGGGTGTTTGGTCTGGTGTTTGCTAATGGCTGCATTAAGTTCTTTCATAGCCAGCTTAGCATTAGCATCCGGGGGGATATACACTGCAGTGAGTATGATGGAAGTGAGTTATCTGGGGAGGTAATAAGGTCTGCATTTGACCATTATAAACTCCACATTAGGTGAGCATTGTCTCTCGGTAGTAGCAGAGTCTATGCACCAAGCTTCATTAATATAAATGCACAAACCTCCACCTCTGGTCTTGCCTAAGTCCTCAGTTATCCTGTCGGCTCGGTGTGTGTGGCGTCCTGCTAACTCAATAGCATTGTCCGGGCAGCTGTTGTTTAACCATGTTTCAGTGAAAATCATGACGTTTGAGTTCATAATCCACCTGTTGTTGGTGATGGAGAGCCGTATTTCATCCATTTTGTTTGCCAAAGAACGGACATTGGTGAGGAAAATGCTGGGTAAGGGCAGCCGGTGTGGTGTAAGTTTTAGCTTAGCCCGTAGTCCTCCTTGCTTACCCCGCCTTTGTTTACGTTCTCGGCGCCGTCTGCGTGTACTTCCGCCTGG